TAGTTAAACTGATTGGCCTATAGTTTGCTGGATTACTTCTATCCCCTTTTTTGAATATGGGTGTTATATTAGCATGAAGCTTTGCGCCAGCAGAGAATCTCATACCTGTGCTCATGACTCAGTGGGCTAAGCCTGTATGCCAGTTCCAGTGTTGGGAAGATTACTTTGGAAATGTAATTTGATACAATTGCAAGTTACTCTATTTAAAATGTAATAGTAGTGTAACTATTTCAATTACTATATGGAAGTAATGTAACTAATTACATTTGATTACTTTTCTAAATTATGAATATTCTCAATGTTAACCATTTTGAAATTTTGTAACCTGGCAGTGTTTACCTTACAGCAGTACTAAACACTGACTACTGTCAACCTAATAATGATTTTAAACAACGGCTTAAGAATAGATCCTCGCTTCATACTCAGTGAAAACTCAGATTCGTTCAGTGTAACAAGTCATAACATTAATATTACATAAAAAAAAAAAGTTAAAACTCAGCCATCAGTTATTAAATTCTAACATGTGTTCATAATATACACTTTTTGGGATTCAAAACAAGCGAATGAAAACGAATGATTTGACCACTCCGTGACGCTTCAAGATTACATTATGATACAAACATTTTATATACTTGCGAAAATTGTTCCATTTTATTTGTGATCTGAACAGTTCTTGCATCAGACAGGATACGAAATTTCTGCTGATTGTATAATCACTTACTCAGTTTAAGTCAATTTTTCAGTCACAAATCACGGAGTAACCTGCAGCTAAAACAGTGTCTTCGCAGCACTGTAAAATAAAATGGGTTAGCAGAGTGGTAAGGCTAGTTGGTGAATTTTCAAAGCTCAATACAGTACGACATAGCATGTCGGGAGTGCTAATATCAGACCTAACATAAATTACCAATAACCTTAGCATATTGAAGAAGGACGGCACATTTTCTGTCAACGTGATCAGAAGTGCCAGTGTGACTTTAAAGCGTGGTACACACTTTGCGATTCATTGTGGGATTCACGTATGCTGTCGGTGTTTACATTTTGTTTTGTTGTCCTATTCGCCGTATTTTATGATTAAGTTGGTGTTGTTCTATAGTTACAATCCGCATACCTGTCATAGCCA